ATTTGTGAGTCTCTTATGCTTTGTCCCCCTCCCTGTTTTTATATTATTTTTGTTTCCCTTCCTTTATGTTCATCTGTCTTGTCTCTTAAAGTCCTCATATGAGTCAAGTCCTATGATTTCTGTCTTTCTCTGACTAATTTCACTTGGCAGAATACCCTCCAGTTCCATCCACGTAGTTGCAAATGGCAAGATCTCATTCTTTTTGATTGCCGAGTAATACTCCATTGTGTGTATAAATCACATCTTCTTTATCCATTCATCCATCAATGGACATTCGGGCTCTTTCCATACTTTGGCTGTTGTTGATAGTGCTGCTATAAACATGGGGGTGCATGTGTCCCTTCGAAAGAGCACCTGTATCCCGTGGATAAATGCCTAGTAGTGCTATTGCTGGGTTGTAGGGTAGTTCTATTTTTAGTTTTTTGAGGAACCTCCATACCGTTTTCCAGAGTGGCTTCACCAGCTTGCATTCCCATGACATTTTTTAAATGCAGAGAAACTGAATGAAAGAAAAGACATACCCCTCAGACCCATCACCCAAAGACAACCTACAACCACTACTAAGATCTCGTTGTGTTTTACTGGCCGCAAACTCTTCCACCAAGAACATCTGCTATATAAACAACACTACTTTGCCTCTCTTTTAGTGCAGAAAATGTGCCACGCTCCTAATTGTTAACTATTAGACATGGCTGTAGGCTGAACATATTTGCACGTGATGGTTTATTTTACTATCCTTAGAATTACTTTCTTGCAGGAGATTGTCAAGAACAGAAAATACTGGCCCAAAAAAGGAATGTTCATTTTTGTTCTTGATACGTAATAACAGTTTGGGACCAAAACGCTCTTCCCCCCCGTAATGAATGAGCTTGCTTCACTTCGTACACGCTCAGCAAATTGGGCGTTTTTATCTCGGATCCCTTTTGTCAAATGAGAGGCAAACAACGAAATCTCATTTCTCAATATGCATTCCCTTTATTACTAGGAAATACGGATATTTTTGCAAGTGGCATTTCCCCCTTTGTGAATTGTCCTCTGCCAACTGTTGTAGTTCTTGTGTTTCCAATTGTGCATTTTTAGAGATGAAGTAGGGCAGTGTTGGAGTTCCGAAGATTTATGAGTCACTAGTTAAAATTCAATTCAGCCCAACAAATACCTATTGTAATGTGCAAACCACAGCACCCAGTGCCCCTGCACAACAGATAATGACTCCATGGAACCGAGCCTCTCTGGAACGTAACTCAGAACTATGCTCTAACAGAGCACAGTGGAGGCGGGAAACAGTCCTTGGGGCTGGACTCCTCAGGAAGTTCCCCCTCCCCACCCCCACACACACCCTCTTCATGTTCTTCTGACCCGGCCCACCTCCTTCCTTTTGCCCCTTGTGGGATCCTGCCATGTCGTGGAGCCCGCCATGTGGGATCACGCTTGTGACTTTATGGGTGTGATCGTTCTCTGCATCACAATCAGGCTATTTATGTGCACATTTTATTTACCCGGGGAAAATTCTCAGGAATGTTTCTTGTTCTCATCTCTCGTTCTCTGAAAGCATTAAGCACAGTGCCTGGCACATAGTCGGCGTCGACAAATACTGCAGACTGGATTCATGGCCAAGTGTGGGATCCAGAGACAGAGCTATCTACCAAGCACGGTGGGGGTTGTGGGATCAATGAACCGACGCAGAGATGGGGAGAGATGCTCGTGTCCCAGGGTCAGATTGCCAGTGAACTGTGTGCACCTGTCTTTCAGCTGGAGAGTGGGGGTGACATGGCCCACGTTAAAGATCTTACCACCCAGGCTGTGAGATTCGGGCTGCTCTTTAACCAGGTACAGACCCCTGGGCCCAAGCAAGGGGAAGGACCGTTTTCTCCCATGCTCGGTTAAGGACATTTGTATAATCGCTTCTTACCTCTGTTAGGAAGGCCAGGGAAGAAAAGAAAATAGTCATGTCTCTTCTGCACGTTCCCACCACACCCTGGGAAAAACAATTCGCAAGACAGGGGCCTGGGACAGGCCATCTATTTATCTGATGTGCACATCCAAAATTTCTCCTTGAGGGGGACCAACTGTCCTCGTTTTTCGGGGATGGAGGAGTTTCCCTGGGAAGCAGGACTTTCAGTTCTGAAACCAGGAAGGGCCTGGGCAAGCTGGGATGAATGGGTCGTTCTCTTCCCCGCAAACATCAAGACTTGCCAACAGTTCCAGGAGAGATTCCACTCCAAGCCTGTGTTGGCAGTTACAAAAGGGAAGCTAGTCTGGGCGGGTATTTTCATGGGTCCCCCAGGTCAAAACAGAGTGGGTCAGGGAACTTGGCTGCAAGGTATGTGGGCACTCAGCCACCAGGGGTGTATGCAGGGCTAGTGGCTGCATTCTGTCTTGGGTTCCCTGGGATGGGCACAGTTCTCCGAGCAATTGCTGTACCCAGTTGTTGAAAGCCACTCCAGTAGTGATCTCAAAAGAAGTTGTGTTTCAGGGACTCGGGGCTCTGAATCTATCATCAAAGACTCCCCTCTGGGTCAGGCCTGGATGGGCTGGGTCTACACCTCGCTTGCCTACACCTGCCTAAGTGGACAGACTGCACACGCAGGGGCCAGGAGGACACCTTGCAATACCATGAATATGGAGTATCTTTTAGGCCCATCCAAATTGGAGCAAATGCTTTGCTTCAGAGGTCTGCAGGCCACAGATTATCTAAGAACATGCCTAACGCATCCTTCTCCCCACTAGAGGATGTGCAGAGCAGTTAAGATCATCCCTGAGTACAACCCATGGGGTTTGTGAAGTCACTACAGTTTGTTTGGCCCTTCCTGAGCTAAAATTGCCGTTGTGTTTTAATTAGTCACTTTTGTGTGTCTAATTAGTCGCTTTTGTTCCAGCTAGAATTTGTTTTTTCTGTGTCCTCTCGCCTTTGAATACAGAAGGTTTCTTTCCCTGTCACTGTGTTGTTTGTTTATCCTTCCCAACTTAGGAGTATACAACTCATTCGGAAGTGATCGCCATATACGGATTCTTCTTCGAGATAAAGGGAGTCAGACATGATACTACCTCTTACAGTTTTTACATGCAGGTAAGAAGGACAGCGCACAGGAAAGTTGTGTCTCTGAAACAGTCTTTTAGATCCAGAGTCAATTCATACGAAATTAATAATAATTGATCAATCATTAGCTAATGACGAATACGAAATGTGTTATAAGCCTACTGCTGATTATGCTCATACCTGTGAGGCCATTTGATTTTTACAACCTTGGGAGGTTTGAGGGTCCATATGGCCCCTATTGGCAAAGTTGGGGTTCCATTCTAGACTCCGACTCTACGTTTGGGGCCCAGTTCGTCTTCTGTTCCTGCGTGATGGGCGATGCTTTACAGATGATCATTCTTCAGTGGAGGGAAGAGGGAACGGTCTTGTTTAGAGAGGCAAAGCAGGGCGGTGGACAGGACACCGGTGAATTCAGGAGGACAGAGGGATTCGCCTCAGTGCTCCTGCTACAGGCTTTTGGAGGAGTGCTGTGTTTTAGAGCAGAGTCGAAGTCAAGCTGCCTGGTGAGCCGCATGATGTTGACAAGCCCGTGAGCCTCCCCATGTCCGGCTTCCTGAGCCTTAAGATGGGGAAGGTAATAGGACCTACCTGACTTGGTTGTGGGCAATATTACTGTGTTCATTTGTGCAAAGCATGTGGCACAGGGCCTGACGCATAAGGCACTATATGATGATGCCGACAATGACAGTGACCACTATGATCAGGGACGGCTATGTTCCCCTTAGGATTTGCCTTGTAAGTCTCTAAGGCATCAAGCTCCTTGAGAAACCGTATCTCATTAGTCTTTTTGTTATCACCACTAATCACAGTACCCGGAACACGGGGAGGTGCGTTTGTATTGTGAGCAGGTAAATGGATACATGCACGCCTGCAGAAACCTGAGCTTCAGCCCCAGCTTCGCCGCTACCTCCTTCCATGCCCTTGAGTGAGTCACATCTCTTCCTTGGGTCAGTTCTTGTCTTTAGTGACTCAGGCATTTCCCTACATGATGGAATTTACTGGATGCAGGAGATGAATTATGTAACAACACCCCTCGAAATACCCGTGTGCACACTCCATTGGTTTTTAAATCCTGGCAAGGCGATAGTGAAGACCTTCCAATTCGGTACAGCCTGACTTAGTGGCATTTTTCTGGGCTCGCCAGACCCCAGTCTGTCCGCCGGTGGTTTGAGGTGGGGGGGGGGGGTCAGATGCGAGCTGACTCAGCAGCGGCAGCCGTTCTCAGGAGGTGGGGCTGCGGGGAGCACCCCCTTGCTCTCCGCACACCTTACACGGGAGAGTCGACGGACCACGTTTTGCTAACTCTGGGTCACCCCAGTTTCAGTTCCACTTGAGGTGGGTCACCCTCCTTGCAGAGAGTGAGGCACAGTGACGTGGTCTGCGAGCACGGCCCCGTCAGCCTGCGGGCGGAACGCCTGGTGAAGTACGAGATCAGAGCCCAGACCCTGGTGGACGGCCAGTGGCAGGAGTTCAGGACCAACCAGATCACCCAGAAGTTTGGGTTCTCCAAGCCGTCCTGCAAAAGCCACGTGAGTGTTTGACTTCTTTTCTCTTTTGTGTCTTTTTTTGCACTTTCTCTCCACCACTCCTTTTTTTGGGCGATCACTGGCTTTCCATCTCCAGTGGTCCACAGGGGAAGCTTGCTCGCTTTCTTAAAAGATGGTCACAGCTCCACGTCACGCTCAAGAGAAACCTAGAATAAAAAGCTGAGGATGCGGAAAGCTATCACTATCACACCAGATCCAGTTTGTAAATGTCAAAGGGTCCTGTTTTGGGAGGAGGGGAGGTTTGGTGGAGTGTGCCTGCCACCATCGCCTCCGCTGTTGCCTGGACATCCCCTGTGACGTGCCCCAAGATCCGTGGCCTGGCCCACCTGCCTCAGTGGCCGGCGTGAGCATCCGGGCGGATTCTGTACCTGGCCTGGCTCCTGACGGGTAAAATCCAAAGTCTGCCAGAGAGCCTGTCTGTAGTCCTAGGAGGAACTCTGAGCGTGAATTTCAGGAGGTCCAGGGGCCGCCCTGGGTGCCCCGCAGGGAGTGGGACTCAGCTTTAAGCCAGGGGGTCCTTCCCCGTCCCGGCTGCGCATCAAAAATCAGCACGCTGGGCTGCTCGCGAGGTCCACAGGCCCGTGCGCCACCCAGCTCCTGAGGCGATGTATTCCGCGGTGGGGCCCGACATCAGTGTTGTTTAAAGCTTCCCAAGTTATTCTCTGCGATGTCAGAAATCAGAACCGCGATTTCCCCTTGTGGAGGTGGGGGCGGGGGGGGGG